TATTGCCTTTTGCGTTAGCACATTCGGATGTATGGGGCCCTGCCTGTGTGACTTCTCATGGTTTCCGTTGGTTTGTCACGTTTATTGATGACTGCACTCGCTTAACATGGGTATATTGATGAAGCATAAACATGATGTTGCCTATATTCTTCCTATTTTTTGTGTTATGATGTCTACTTAATTTCATGTCCATGTTAAAGTACTTCGGACTGATAACGGAGGTGAATATGTGAATCATACCTTGATCCAGTTCTTCCGTGATCAAGGTATCATTCACCAAACTACCACTCCATTCACTCATCAACAGAATGATGTGTTTGAACGTAAGAATCGTCAGTTAAAGTTGCCTACTCCATTATGTTGGATATGTGTGTTCCTTATCATCTTTGGGGATATGGTGTTTTGGTCGTTGCTTATTTGATTAACCGTACTCCTAGTTTGGTTCTTGATTTCAAGACTCCGCTTGATGTGTTATGTGCCCATACTTCTTCGGTTTCGGTCTCTAAGCTACCTCCGAATGTGTTTTGGTGTGTTGCTTATGTTCATGCCTACTCTCATCAACGGAGTAAACTTGACCCGTGTGGTTTTCGCTGCGTCTTCATTGGCCATTCGACCACTTAGAAGGGTTATAAGTGTTATCACACTCATTCATAGAAGGTACATGTTACTTTGGATGTCACCTTTCATGAAGAAGTACTGTATTATGTCTCTTCCTCCTCTCCAATTTAGGAGGAGAGGGGGAGTGAATTGAAGAGTTTTGAAATGGAAAACCTTGGACGTACAGAGGCATGTGAAGGGATTTCTAACGAAGTGCCAATGACCGGTCACCAAGTAATTAGCGTGGAACAGACCGGTCGCGTAGACGAAACGACCGGTCGACAAGTAATCTGCCTAGAACCAACCGGTCGAGTAGAGGGTGACGACCGGTCGCACAACTTAATGCGTGATGACTGCATGGAAACGACTGGTCACCAAGTAATCTGCCTGGAACTGACCAATCGCCTAGAATGTAACGACCGGTCACCGGTTGAATTCTTTGATGAAATTTTCTTTTCGCCAGAAGAACGTGATAGTGATACTGGTGACTCTTGTGAAGATGAGATCGATATAAGACCCCCATCTGCCCTGTCACTACTCCAACCAACTCGTGATAATGATGAGGTTCTTTCTAATGATGTGTCAACTTATTGTCTATCTAAATCATATGCATCATATTTGTGTCAATTATCTAGTATATGCGTGCCAACTAGGTTGCAGGATGCCCTATCTAATCCAAAATGGGCAGATGCAATGCATTTTGAGATGGAAGCCTTAAACAAGAATGTCACTTGGAGCTAGTTCCTTTACCAAAATGGGAAAAGGCAATTGGGTGTAGATGAGTGTTTACTTTGAAGCACAATGCTGATGGTTTTATTGACCGTTACAAGGCAAGGTTGGTAGCAAAATGTTATACTCAGACCTATGGAGTGGATTACATGGAGACCTTTGCTCCAGTAACAAAGCTCAATACTGTGCGCGTACTCTTGTCCTTGTCTGCTCATCATGATTGGCCTCTGTTACAATTTGATGTCAAAAATGCATTCCTCCATGGTGACCTCAAGGAAGAAATAAACATGGATCCGTAGCCGGGTATCTCTATGACCTTTAAGGGGGGTATGATATGCAAACTACGGAAATCCTTATATGGATTAAAGCAGTCTCCAAGAGCTTGGTTTGGGAGGTTTGCTGCATCTATGAGGAAGTCTGGGTATGTACAAAGTAATTCGGATCATATATATATATATATATTTCATGTTTCTTGCATTTTCAATATTTTGTAAATATTTCTTGCATTTTCAATATTTTGTAAATATTTCTTGCATTTCCAATTTTGTCTTAATATTTCTTGCATAAATAATATTTTGTGAATATTTGTTGCAGTTCCAATATATTTGTAAGGTTAATTGCATTTCCATTTTTTTATATTTATGTTACTTCAATATTTGTTGCATTTCCAATATATTTGTAAGGTTAATTGCATTTCCATTATTTTTTTTATATTACTTGCATTTCCAATATATTTTAAATATTTCTTGCAATTTTTTTTTTTTGGGTTAATAGATTATACAAGCACAAATGTGATTTGGTGCAATTGGGCAAGGCAAAAAACTTTCAACCATTATGAATGTTTGGAGGTGGTGAAAAATTGCAAATGCTTCAGAATTATTCCCATGGGTCCCCTCGTTATGTTAAACGAGACGCCACTCCAACGACATCGGATTCACCTCTAGATTCTCCTATGAGTCAAGACTCACCCATCGAAAAGGAGTCGAGGCCCATTGGCTAAAAGGCTGCGAAGGCGAAGAAAGGGAGTAATTCTAGCACTAATAATACATCAAAAAATTTGGAGGAAATTGCAAGGCAGGCTGCCATAAGAATTGAAATGAAGAAGAAACACCAAGAGAATGAGATGGCAATTCGAGCAGAATATTTACAAGAAATGGAGTATTTGCGCAAACAACACATTGAGAAGACGGATTGGGAAACCATGGCCATGGATACAAGCCATATGTCCCCTGAAACAAAACAATTTTGGAAGCTAGAACGAGGGGATATTATGAGAAGAAGACTTTTCCGTGACGATGGACCTAGCAACACTGATTGGTTAAAATGATGAAAACCATTAAATTAGTCGGCATACCTTTTATTTATTTGTATTTTTCATGTTTTGTATTAAAGTTGTTGTAATTCATGTATTTTATTTTAGTAGTAATAATTATTAATGACTTGTATTGACTTTCTTTATTTAATAAACAAAGCATTCAATAAATATTCCATACATTAAACAAAACATAATTAAAAAGAAAAACCACAACCAAAGCATAATAAAAAATTTAAAAAACTACAACCAAAGCACAATAATAATAACAAACCACAACCAAACCATAATAAAAAATAAAAAAAATACAACACAACCAAACCATAACTAAATAAAATCTAAGCAAAACATCTATGCTCTATCATTCACCTTCATTGCCTTTCACCGCCCATAGATGCTCCATCAAGTCAAGTTGACGCCTTTCATGAATATACGAAGATTGCATCTCTGTATATCAATCTACCATACAGGTCATGAAACGACCATCCCTAACCAACGGATCCGGCTCAAACGGTTCTCCACTTGGCCCCATGGGCCTTTCATAAATTCGTGTCAAGGCCAAGTTCATGGGATCCAGTTCGTAGACCTCCGCAGCATCGTAATCATACTCATCCTCCACAATCATATTATGGAGGATGATGCAAGTCATCATAATACTTCTCAGGACCTCCTCATCAAACATACGCGCCGCACCTCGAATAATCAACCATTGAGCTTGGAGGATGCCAAAACACCTTTCGACATCTTTCCTATATCCTTCTTGATAGGAAGCAAATAATCTTTGCTTCTGGGATCGGGGATTCTGAATGGATTTGACAAACGTGATCCACCTTGGGTAGATGCTGTTAGCTAGATAATATCCAGTATGATACACTGTATTATTGATTTGATAGGTGATATTCAGGGCTGCACCTCTCAAAACATCGTTGAAGACCGGGGATTGACCCAGCACGCTGAGGTTATTTTGGGATCCTGCAACTCCGAAGAAGGCATGCCAAACCCATGTATCGAAGCCAACAACGGCTTCAGGGATGATATTTTTTTGGCATTTTCTATTGCCGTAATCTCCTTGCAAGGCAGTTGGGCAATTCTTCCATTGTCAGTGTGTGCAGTCAATACTACCAATCATTACTGGAAATCCTCGAGTTTCCGCTTTTTGTAGAAGTAGCTGGAGGTCCCTGGGAGTAGGTCTGCGTAGGTAGTCCATAGTGTACAGAGTTCCAACTGCATCACAAAATCTTACCAAGGCCTCCAACATAGTGGACTTCCCTATCCGGGCAATCTCATCCACCTAATCAACAGATGAACCATACATCAACATTCGTATAACAGCTGTAAGCTTTTGCTCCGGAAGAAGTCCCAAAGCCCCAACAGCATCACACTTTTGAACAAAGTATGCATCATAATTGCAAATATCATGGATGACTTTATTGAACAAATGGGGTTGCATTCTATATCGCCTTCGAAAATCAACATCATAGTACAAATGAGATGTGATAAAATAATCTTCCAAAAGATTCTTACCTAGAGAATGCCTATGTCTGTCCACATTCGGGCCACGGCCGACTTGTGAACCATGGCGGCGACCTTGGTTCTCTTCATCAAGCACAAGCCACTGCTATGACAACTTGTTCATCTTTTTCTATCTACAACCTTTGCCTTTCAGCTTGTCTACGGGTTCTCTAATTTGTTTCTCGCTCTTGCCTCTCCAAGTATCTACTCAAATCTTCCATTGAGAATGAAGTATGAATTTTAAATTTTTTCCCTGTTGCCACGTGGCGTCGTCTGGGCTCTCCGATCTGATGTTTTCCTCCAAACCAACGGCAGCCAATTTTTTTTGCAATAAAATACTGGAAAAAATTCGGAAAATTTTTCAAAAAATACCCAAAATTAATGAATTTTTTTCTATAAATACCAGCCTTTTTTAAAAAAAATTTATCTGAATCTTATCCGGAAATTTTATCCGATTATGAGATATGAATAATCTTTACATGTAGGAACCCGAAAATATTATCTAAATTAATTATTGAGGTAAAAAAATTTGTGAAAAAAACAAAAAAATGAATAATAATTTTTATTTGCCATGACAACGGATGAAAACACACAATACTTTTTGCACACCCCCTATTCCCGTGAAGAGTGGCTGTCCGACCCCCCCCCCCGGCGGGGCGGGCGTCATGGCAAATGGGTGAAGTTGTTTTAAAAAAGCACAAATATCTTGGCAAAAAAAAAAAAAAAAAGAAGAAGAAAAAAGCACAAATATGGTTAAAGGCCCAAAATTGAAACCCAAACAGGAGCAGAGAGTTGAGCCCACACAAAATACAACATAACCAAATAAAAGGCCCAAATTCAAAGAGTGTACTGTCGACGTTCGTCGTTTGATGATCATTCTCAGTCCGTTAAACCCTAATATCCCAAATAAGCCAAATCATCTTGCTTCAAAACCTCGAATTTCAATCTCTGATATTCATTTTCTTCTCACGAATTAGTGTCATATAGAACTCATATATATCAAAGTCCACACACAGTCCTCTCATTTCCCTTTCGCGCAGCCCACACTCCCAGTCCTCCCTCCCATAAACCCCATAATCTCGTAGCAGAGCATAAGCGGTGCAGCCCTACTCTGAACGTCGACCACGACGCGCCGACCCAGCAACTCTCCTTCACTCAAATGGAGATTGATTCTGATTTCCATAAAATGAATATCAAACCACAAGAAGAAGGCGACACAACGATACCCATGGACTCTGAAGGCTCTTCTACCGTTCAGGTACTCATTCTCACCATGCACCAGGGTTTTGCTTTTCAAGCTCTCAATATGTTAAAACAACTTATTGGGTTTTATTTTATTTTATTTTTATTTTATTGGGTATTGAATTATTTTCCTAAATTTTTTTTAGCAAAATATCAAATTAGTCTTACTTTTAGTTTCTGTTTTTGTTTTTCCTTTTGTTTCCTGTATTGTTTTTCATTAAGCTGGAGTGTTTGATTTTGTTCCGAAGAATGACAAGGGTAAAGAAAATGAGGAACTTACTAACTCAATGAAGAAACTGCAAGTTGAGGAGTCATCTTCGGGGCAGGCAGGGTCCAGCTTCAAGAAAAAACCAGTTATTATAATTGTTGTGGGCATGGCAGGTAATTTCATCAAGTTTAATCTGATTTTGTTCTGTTCATTATAGCAATAGGGTTGTATTATTGATACATTTCTTTTCCAGTTTTGTGAAGAATTATGCTATTGTCAACTGCTTGAAATCGAACTGTTTTGTGGATTTTCTTAGGGAGTGGTAAAACAACCTTTCTTCATCGGTTGGTTTCTCACACACGTGAGTCCAACATACGTGGCTACGTGATGAATCTCGACCCAGCTGTGATGACTCTCCCATTTGGTGCAAACATTGACATAAGGGATACTGTTCGCTACAAGGAGGTGATGAAACAGTTCAATCTTGGACCAAACGGGGGAATTTTGACCTCACTCAACTTGTTTGCTACCAAGTTTGATGAGGTAAAAACTTTGCTGTGAATATTTGCCTTAAATCATTTCATACTGTATAATGTTTGGAATGCCCTGTGGATGAGACATGATGCCATTTTTTACCATCGTAAGTCAGTGTTATAATCATTCAGAAGAGTTTTGTATACATAGCATGTAGCTTTTGTTTGTGGCAATTTCATTCAATTTGTTTTCAACATGCATTGCATTATTGGGCTTCGTAATGGTTCTATCCTTTTGATTTGTTTGCACATGTACAGTAGTGTTGGCTTCATATTGGTTCTATCCATTTGATTGCGCTCTTAATGTGTTCTTTTAGCTCATGCTTTGTGCCTTCTTTTTATTTTCCCTCATTTATTCAAAATGAATTTATCACAAAATTCTCCAATTTCAGGTTGTCTCAGTCATTGAGAAGCGAGCAGATCAACTTGATTATGTTCTTGTGGATACTCCTGGTCAGATTGAGATATTCACTTGGTCCGCTTCTGGTGCTATCATCACAGAAGCATTTGCTTCAACATTTCCTACTGTGATCGCTTATGTGGTAGATACACCTCGTTCAGCTAGCCCAGTCACTTTTATGAGCAATATGCTTTACGCTTGCAGTATCCTTTACAAGACAAGGTTGCCTCTTGTGTTGGCATTCAACAAGATTGACGTGGCCCAACATCAGTTTGCTTTAGAGGTATGCTTTATATATGTGTGTGAATGCATGTAGAACAAAGTATATAAACATGCATAAGCACTTAAGAGACATGCACGCGCATTCTGGAATATGCTTGAATATGGTGAGTCTGGAAGCTTTTAGGGTAAAGCCAAGTTTTGTAAGGTTAAGTTGACCAACCAGGAGTTACCCACCAAGCTAGCTATAGATGGTTCCAGAAATATACTGAAAGGAACCAGTAGAATCAGTCTCAAACTTGGATGGTTTATATGCATTCATTTGGTTGTGGACTAAATAAATCTTCAACTGTGTTGCATAAGGTGTTGATGCTTCATAGGATGTGCATCTCAAGATTAAATTACAAAACTGCTGTAGAGAATGGGGAAACAATGTTTATGAGGGGCAGTTTGTCATGGCAAACTCTAGTAGTAACAGTGAGCAGAACAAAAATCAATGTGAAGAATTATATAACTGATTATATTGCCAAGAACTCTACTTTGCAAATTAGCCTGATTTCATGTGACATTTTTATTCTAGAGTTGGAATACCTTTTCTAATTTGTATATGTCCAGACTGTAGTAGTTTGATGAAATAATACATATGTATATTGTAGTTGAATGTATTTGTGAATCAACTTATTTTGGAATATTTGATTTCTTCTTCGTAACCATTTTGATTGTGATGATCCAAAGCAGATGTTTCTACTTTCTCCTTCACCCTCTTAGGTTCCAAAATTTTCTCCATTATCAGTGTGAAGTGAAATATGTAATATGCATTCTTTGGTTTTTTATATTCATTGTCTTGAAACCTTCTGTTCGTTCAGTGGATGGAGGATTTTGAGGCATTTCAAGCAGCAGTGAGTACAGATAGTTCATACAGTTCAACTTTAGCTCAGAGCCTCTCCCTTGTGTTGGATGAATTCTATAAGAACTTGCGGTCTGTCGGAGTGTCTGCGGTTTCTGGTGCTGGAATGAAGGATTTCTTTAAGGCCATTGAAGCAAGTGTTGAGGAGTACATGGGCAACTATAAGTATTGCCTGAACTTAATGAACCTACCTTTCTTCACTTTGTACTGAATAGGGATGTTTATGCTAGATCATGATTATGTTTATAATGAATCTGGTTTTCATAATTTTGCTGCTTCTTGTTACTTGTGTAGGGCTGATCTGGAAAAGAGACGTGCAGAGAAGGAACGTTTAGAGGAGGAACACAGAAAGGAGAACATGGAGAAGTTGAGGAAAGATATGGAGAAATCCGGGGGAGAGACTGTGATATTGAGCACTGGTTTGAAGGACAAAGATGAGAGGGGCAAAGCCATGATGGATGAGGACGAGGAAGAAGTTGAAGAAGAAGAGGAAGATGAGATGTTTGCTGAAGATGAGGATGCTATAGATGAAGATGAAGATGAAGAGGTTGGCAGGTTCACCTTTTAGTGATGCTTCGTTAATGGCAGATGTTTTTGGAACAAGACTTTGTGTAAGTATTAACTAACTGGTTATCAAGATTTTGATACTCGTTGGAAGCTAACGTTAAAAAAAATATATATTCTCTTTCTTTTTCTTTGGGATAGTTTGTTTACCCGTAGATTGGTACGTACACGAGTCATTAAAAGTTAAGCAAAGCCAGAAACCAGTAGAGATTCCATTTGGTTTTGCTTTATTACACATATATGAGTCATTGAAAGTTAACCAATGTAAAAAACAAGTTGAGAATTACCAACCAAAAAAGAAAAACAAATTAACAAGTCCTTTCTGATTAAAAAAGTAAAACAAAAATTAACAAATACAATAACTACTGAATAGAAAAAAACAACTACCATGTAATGAACAAACAAACAACTAAGCAAAGAATTAAAACCTAGTCCTGAACAAACATAACATGCATGCATTGCCACCATGTGATGAGCTTTTTCAGTCATTTATCTTTTCTGTCTCTTATGTTCTTCGAAGTCGGAATCCCACACAACTCCAACTCCTTGTAAAGGGCCTTGTCAAGACATTTGAGGTCCTTGTCATGAGATTCGAGTAGAAAAGCCAAAGCAGGGTGGTTCGTAGACTTGAGTTGGTTCCCTAGATCCTCAAATCTGCTTTTCATTTCCAAAAGCTCTGTAGCCCTTGCATAAAGCCGGGCTGTAAGAGGGTCGATGGACGGCCTCAAATTCAACCAGCCATACTGTAATTTAGTTGTCGCTGGGGCTATCAGTCTCTCCAAAAGAGTGAGGAGCCACGCGTAACCTGCAAGATTAATCGCCATGTTAGAAAAACGAAACTCAATTAGTGATTTAAACGAACAGAAGGGACTTAAAATTTTGATCTATAAATAAAACATGACATATACTTACGAGCTACAAGATATATCAACGTTAAACTCGTCCGCAATATTGATATGTGAAAGCACAAAATTGGAGACACTAAAATCACCATCCATGACACCGAAATTTTGCAACAAACCACCAGTATCAGAGCCCCTGTGATTAGTAGGGGTAGGCTCAAAACCCTGCTGCTGCCAGTTTCAGCACCAAAAGCTTCAGAATCCATTGTTGAATATAGAATTAATCTCTCTAATTGGGGTTTTTTTTTCTTCTCTTGTTTGAATATGCAACTCTTTAGCCCTCTATATATATAACAGTTAGGTGTGCTACCGAAGTGAGGAGTCTGAAGATTGAAAGGATTAGCAATTCATATGAAGATCAAAAACCAAAAGCGAGGATTCCTAGTTTAATATGAATAAAAATTGAAATTTCTTTTTTCTGTTTTTTTGGGGTCAGTTTAAATATTAAAAGAATTTTCTTAAATGATGTTCGATGGTGAAACATTATTAGTAGGAGAGTAGTATGAACACAACCGGCATAATCCTCCTCGTTAAGGATTATGTTTCTAAATCCTAGTATGAATACAATTAGTATTCATGAGTGAGTCCAAATCATCCTCATTAAGGAAGACATTCCCAGATTATGTTCCTAAATCCTAACTATAGGTGGCTAAGACAATTGGCATAATATCCATATATGAGATATTTCTGTCAGAATAGCTGCCATATCCTATATATAACATAATCCAAAAGATATTAAGATTGTCTTAAAAAAAATTCGTTTAGCAATTCATAGCCTGTATATCCAAATAAAATGAAAAAGTTAGTTTCCTACACAATAAAGACCACTAAGTTTCCGTTTATCAATTAATAAATGAGAATGATATATTTAGGCATATACCCATTCTTAGCACTAATGATATAGATGAACCATACACCATTTAATTTCTATAAACAAACCAAAAAAAAAAAAAAAAACCCAAAAAATGATAGCTGGCCCTATTGAATTTAGTTTTGATTATTAAATTACTTTGATACCCTATTGAGTGTTTTTGGTTTTTTATGACGTTTTGGAGTTGAGCTTGTTTTAAGAAATTGATGACAATTTTGTAATTTATAAGAAGTTAAAAACCTCTTTGTTATGTTGTAAATGAGCTTTGAGTGTGTTTCTAAAGTTCATTTTATATAGGATTTTTAAAAATAATTTGGGTCCTTATATTGGGTATAATAGTGAATCACACTCGGATCAGGTGAGAATGGCTATGTGAGAACCTTATATGAGAATCAATCCCAGCCGTTGAAATGCATATGAACGGTTTAGGAGAAAAAGGAAGCTTACGGTACAAACGGGTAGGCTGCAGTTTCCCCTTAGCCCATGTGTCAAGTCGTGCCTCTCTTTTGAAAAAAAATGCGCCTTTGTTCTTCATTAATTTTCTTTCTTCCTTACAACCGTGCCTTTCTTCTTAATTAATTTATGAATGAACTCTAATCATAACACGTAAAATTTCACATAATAGACATAAATTTGTGTATTCCTCTTCTCTTGTCTCAGAAACTCCCTCGTCTAGTCTTTCTCTTTCACTTCCTCTTATCTTGTCCTAGAACCTCCCTTGTCTAGTCTTTATATTTCTAGCCATCCAAAGTCATCTGAATGTCTAAAGAGAAAAAGCAAGCTTACAATACAAACGGGTACACTTCACTTTCCCCTTAGGCCACGTGTCCTGCCGCGCCTTTTCCAATCTTGCCCAATTCCCCGCCTCTGAATTCATTTTTGTCAGACTCCCTCTTGTTCATCTTAAAAAGATTCTCCTCTCTCAATACAATCTCCTATTTTCATTTGTCAGAATCGGTACGTTTTTCTTGAACTCTCTCTCTCTCTCTCTCTCCCCCCCCTCCCCTCCTCTTCCTTCTTCTTT